CGGAGGATGGATGGATGGAGCGAGCGAGAACGCGAGCGTGCGCGCGCGCGCCCCTCTCCCCCTCCCTCCGCGCGGGCGCGAAGCCAGGCGCGAGCGCGCTCCAACCTCCTCCTCTTCCTCCTCCCGCCCCTCCCCAACACCCCGCCCTCGCCCTCCCTTCCTCTTCCTTCTTTCGCTTTGGCGCGCCCAGCGATTGCTCGCGCCTGCTAGAGGGGCCCGAGCGCGTGCATCTGCCCCGCGGCCGCAGCTCGGCAGCATTTGCTCCAGGGGGCGGGGACCGGGAAGGGAGGAGGGGCGCCACGCCGCCGTCCAAAGTACCGGCGGACGGGAGCGAGGGCGGGGAGATGGGTGGAGTCTTCGTAGACCAGCCCGGCCAATCGCCGTGTCGCCTCGGCACCGGAGGCCCAATAGGAAGGTGGTGGGTGGGGCAGCGTTCAAGGTGAGGTGCGCGGTGCGCTGGGGGCGGAGACGTTGTGCCGTCCCGGCCGGCTCGGGGGCGGGGGCAGCGGGTGGCGTCGAAAGAGAGCGCCGGCTCCCGGCCGAGCCTGGGACGCCTTCCGGCCCAGGCTCCTCCGCCCTTCCCTCGGGGTTCCCCGCTCTTTCTTTTCCTCCCCCTCCATTCCTCCACTCCCCACTTTTACCCCAAGGTGTGTAGCCACTTCTGTGAAGAGGACGGACTTGAAATGGGGCGCAGTTAGGAAAAGCCTTGGAGAGGCTCGTCCGCACTCGCTCTCCGGGTTTCTGGGTGGGTCTCAGCCCATTCCACACCGTAGAACGTGGAAGCAAGCGTCCGTGAGGTGCCGGTCCACCGCCGAGGGCGGAGGCCGAGCTGCTCCCTCTGAGCGAAGCGCCCTCCCCTCCTTCAACCTAATTTAGATCCCACACCTGCTCGCCTTTCCTGCTTCCGGATCCCACGCTGGACGTCCCCCGGTTCTCAGGCAGCCCGCGGGGCTCTGGCCAGAACCTTTCCCGACCCAGCGGTGCCCCAGCCCAGGGGGCCCTGAACCGCACCCTGAGTTTCAGTCCCCCTTTACCTCAGCCACTGAAAGGTGTCTAGACATCTCAGCGACTGGTGCCCTGGGACTGTAGTCTGTCAAGCCCGATCCCCTCAGGAGATAGGCTTAGTCTGAAGTCACATACTTTGAGACCCTCATCGGCTCTAAAGCCTCCAAACTTTCACTGAGATTTGAAGTAGTTTTAAGGCCCGAGTCAGATCTGAATTGATGGATTTTAGCAAATGAGCTCCCTAAATCTCGGTTCCTTCCCATTGCCAGTGGGTGTAATGATAAGATTAATAAATCAGTGCATATGAGCACATGGGACTCAGCTCAGTGTAAGTAAATCTTAGCTTGTTTTACTCTTTTTGTTCCAGTACTGGGATTTGAACTCAGGGCCTGGACTCTGTCCTTTAGGTGATTTTTTTTTCTTTTCTGAAGTCTGGTACTGTACCACTTGAGCCAGCTTTTTGGTGGTTCATTGGAGATAAGTCTCATGGATTTTTCTGCCGGGGATCACTTCAAACTGTAATTCTCAGATCTCAACCTCCTGAGTAGCTAACAGGTGTGAACCACAGGCCCTCCACTTTTTTGCGACAGGATCTGGCTAGCTATCTCAAGCTGACCTCAAACTTTCTTTGGGTGCAAAATCACAATCTAGCTTCAGTCTCCAAACTGCTAGGATTACAGGTGTGCATCACCACACCACTTAGCTGTTTTTCTTATGGTGCTCCAAGTCTTGGGCTATAAAGATTAAAGAAGGCAGTTGTACTTAAGAAGTTCATAGTCTCAGGTGGTAGGAGGATCTGTAGGAAAAAACTGAAGCTGGGTGCCAGTGGCTTATGCCTGTAATCCTAGCTACTCAGAAGGCTGAGATCTGAGGATTGCAGTTCAAAGCTAGCTCAGGCAGAAAAGTCCATGAGCCCTATGACTGAAAGAAAAAAAACTGAAAAATAATATATACAAATTAATGCTATAGCTATTAAAGCCTGCAATCCTAGCTATTCAGTAGTAGACTGAGACCTGTAAGATTGAGGTTCAAAGCTAGCCTGGACAGAAAATCCAGAAAACTGTGTCCACAATTAACTAGTAAAAATGCCAGAAAGGAGATGTAGCTAAATGATTTCTTTTTTCGGTCATGGGCTTGAACTCTGGGCCTGGGCACTGTCCTGAGCTCTTCAGCTCAAGGCTAGCACTCTACCACTTGAACCACAGCACCAATTCTGGTTTTCTGAGTGGATTATTGGAGATAAGAGTCTCATGGCCTTCTCTGCCTGGGCTGACTTTGAATCACAATTCTCAGATCTCAGCCTCCTGAGTAGCTAGGATTACAGGCATTAGCCACAGGTGCCTAGCTAAGGTTAAATGATATTGTGCTGATCTGTGAGCTAACATGCCCAGGAAGAGAGCCTGGCCTCCTAAGTCCAAGGTATGGGCACACATGCACACAGAAAACAAAGGAAAATGAGGGTTCAGAAGTAGGCAGGAAGTGGCACTAAATGATGTAAGAAAAAGGCCAGGAAAGGCTTTTTTTTTTTTTTTTCTTCAGTCATGGGGCTTGAACTGTGGGCCTGGGAGCTGTCCCTCAGCTCTTCAGCTCAAGGCTAACACTCTACCACTTGAGCCTCAGCCCCACTTCCAGCTTTTTCTGCTTATGTGGTGCTGAGGAATCGAAGCCAGGGCCTCATGCATGAAGGCAAGCACTCTACCACTGAGCCACCTTCCCAGCCCAGGAAAGGCTTTTTATAGAGAAAGATGAACTAGAAGACCAGGATGACATTAGACATGTCAACAATAAGCTTCAGAGGGGCTGGAAAGGTGGCTCAGTGGTAGAGCACTTGCCTTGCATGCATGAGGCCCTGGGTTCAATGCCTCAGCACCACATAAGCAAAAAAAAAAAAAAAAAAAAGCTGGAAGTGGCGCTGTGGCTCAAGTGGTAGAGTGCTAACCTTGAGCTGAAGAGCTGAGGGACAGCGCCCAGGCTCAGAGTTCAGGCCCAACGACCGGACCACCCCCCCCAAAAAAAAAACCAATAAGCTTCAGAATCTGAGGCAGGGCTGGTTATGTGGTTTAATGGGTTTGATTCCCCAGTACCACATAAACAGAAAAAGCCGGAAGTGGTGCTGTGGCTCAAGTGGTAGAGCGGCAGCCTTAAGCAAAAGAAGCTCAGGGACAGTGCCCAAGCCCTGAGTTCAAGCCCCAGGACTGGTTTCAAACAAACAACAACAACAAAAAGCTGGGCACTAGTGGCTCACTCCTATAGTCGTGGCTACTCAGGAGGTTGAGATCTAAGGATCATGGTTCAAAGCCAGCCTGGGCAGGAAAGTCAAGGAGACTCTTATCTCCAGTTAACCACTAGAAAACTGGAAATGGTGCTGTGGCTCAAGTGGTAGAGCCCTTGCTTTGAGGTGAACTCAGGGACAGTGCCCAGGCCCACAGCTCAAGCCCCATGACCAACCAAAAAATAAAAATAAAGTAAATCTGAGGCAGGTCAGATGTGGTGATGCCAGCA